ATCCTGGGAACAGGAAAGAGGAGTATGATTTATATGAATGTAATATATCCGATTGATCGAATTCAATATCGTATCTTTCAATAGGTTACAAAGTAACTTCTTCCACTCGTACTGAAATCGTGAACACTCTCTAGGACTACTGCAAGTTTATATATAGACTTCTATGTGTTTAGTACAACTTTGGATAATGACGTTACATTTGAACCATTAACTTTTTTCCCATAAACTATGTATGAAGTTTTATGAATGAAAAACTAGAATCCCTCGTATTTAGTATACCTAACGATGCAGACTTGCTGCAAGCATACTATTATTATCTATTCTTATTAAACTTCCCATGAGTGAAAAGTGAAAACATAAGGTTAAGGTTTTGGTTTTGGATAAATTAATAACATTCTGGAAGCAATTATTGTGATGTATGCAACTGTTAAAGTCAGTGGCCCCTTGCGCGCTCCGACGCAAAATTCCACAGTCGCGTCGTAGGTAGATACCAACGAACGTGATGGGAATGAAAAATAAACGTTACAGATTTTAGACAAAAAAAATATGTTAAATATCACATGCTTACGTTATTAAAAATGTTTTTTATTTATATCTCCCATTCGATCAACCATAGAATATTTAAATACAATCTAGAAATGTTTCTCATGTATTTAAAAATGTAAAATGAGCAGTTTAATTTTTTAAATTAACAGTAGTATTCTTTTTCATCCTATATATAATATAATGAATAGAAAAACTACATATTTATCATTGAATTAAAAACGCGACTTTTCTATTAATATTTTTATTTTAACTCGTACTAGTTACAGTTACAGATATTATATTATTTGGAGATTTCTGCTTTATCAATTGTTTTCATCGATACCTAAATCGATTTACAGTCATCACCACACCGCACGGTGTAAATCCAAGTGTATTTTATATGCTAATAATAAAACACAACAATATATTTGTTAGTTTACTTTTTACTTTCACATCAACCAAGGTAAACATATACACCTATTTACGGTTAATAAAATATTTATCACTGTAGTAATAAATTAGTATAAAGATTTTATACCTTTGAAATATCTATGTATTATTGTATTATGACTTTAACAAAATGTAATAAGAAATACGCGATATATATGTTTAAAATTAGGAAATAATTCCTGACCTCTTTGGTTGCGGATTCGGTTTACAACTAAAAGATTAATAATAATTCAAGATTTTGTTAGTAGCTATATTAGGTAATAAAAAGGGTTGAGTTTAAAAAAGAATGCTAACTGGAAGCCATAACTTAGCAAGTTATCCTTGAATGAGCTTCCTGACAATCATGTAAATTGTAACAGTGAAGGGGCTTGCATACTGCATTCAGCCTTTGTTTAAACACACCAACAACGTTGCAAAACTCTATAACCTTCGACAAAATATTGAAAGCTTTTTGCATCGGGAAATAAATTTGGGTTAGCAACCAATATTTTATACAAAAGATAGTAAATTTTATAATAACATTTGAGGATAATTTTATAAAAATGATTAGAGATTATACAGGAACGAAAAATTACAATTGAATAACAAACGAACTAAGCAGAATCGATGTGTAAACATAGTGAGGTAATTGCCGAGTTTGACACTCACATCTCATCCAACCGGTTTGTATTTTGTTGAGATTGAAAGTTCATATTGCAACATTTGGGCTGACAACACTTATAAAATATATTACAGTACATAAGACCTATAAATATATTAAATAACATTTACCATACATTATGAACCGTACCAAAAAATCCCTGATGTTACAACTTTTGCTTTTTAATTTAGTTTATGAGTAACAGGAAGCCTAGAAGATGTTTTTTTAAATTAAACTCAGACGCTAATATACAAGATTCTCTTTTCCGTTTTATTTTTATGAAAATAAAATAAAATATAAATAGATAATCCTAAAGGTCAAGAAGAAGCGTCCTTTTAGTGCTGTTAAATAAAATTAGGCAATAAATAGTAAAAGTCAAGATTCAAGGCCGTCTGGTGACTGGCGGCATATAATATCCGCTTGTGGTTCACCAGTCAACATTATTATTCAGAACATAATTCAACTCTCCTTTATTTATTTCGATAATTCACGTTTTTGAGATTTAAAATGGCTTTTAGTTTACATTTGCATTATTAATTTGAGGATAACAGGCAACAGCATTCATTAAACGGGAACAGGATTCGGGTCAACCTTTTGGAAAAAACCCACTTAAGCATTCAAAGCAAATTTAAAACTTTAAGTTTCTTTAAAAAGAAATACTACAAAATAAAGGATACAAAAATATTTATAGCTATAGTTACAAATAAAAAGAATTAACTTCATTGTTTATTGTATTATTCTTATTTGTGGATTTAATCTGCTGTCGAAGTTTTTTTTTTTTTGGAATAGTCAGTAAGTACAATAGTACTAGAAAAGTATTCTTATAGATATTCGTCAAGGAGCAAAGAATAACTCTCACTTTGAACGGCAACATGTTTATACGTCTTTTAAAAAGATCAAAAGCCTTAATTTCTTTTCCTTCAGTTCGTCTTTAGTAAGATTATTAATAAGCACGTCAAAATGCGGCTCTTGTAGGTAACTTATGGTTCGTATTTTTTCTTTTTTTTAAATCGATGGTCACTTTAAAAAAAAATATTATGTAAATTAAATAACTTCAGAGGACTAACTAATAAAAGTAACTTTTATTCTTGTTTCTAGTGTGTTTTTTAATATCTTATATAAGACAGTAAGAAGTATTCAGCTATAACTATAAAACAAAGCTTCTAGTTTTATGTTTTATTTCTTAGTGTTTTTGAAAGATAACTCTACGATTATAAGATTAAACATGACGTTTTGTGATGAAACTATGAAAATGTGTAGTTAACTAAATAAACTCAGAATTCTGACTAAAGATCAAAGTTCACATATAAGCGAAAGAGAGTTGAGTAATTCATATTTACTACATAGTTAATCAGTAAGATAGACTTTTATATAAATAAAATGAAACAAATGACGGAAAAATCCTAATAATCATCGCAATTTGAAGAACAATGAATAAATCTTTTTTTATTTTTTATATTTAATTCAATAAATAATTAATTTAACTTACCATTGTTTATTTTTGGTTATGGTCAATTGGTATATACGTACTTATGAAAGCAATAATAATTAAGTGATTCGTATAATATGCCCTACTATACCTATAATCCTATAATAACAAATTTTGTGATTTCGTAAGACATTGTAAGAATAAAAACTACAAAGAATTTTTGAAGTAATTTCATGCCACATATAATAAATAAATTAATTAAATGGGTACTATCGAACGGGGTGAATAGGCACAGAATTAAAATTTGACCCCATTCAACAATGATCAGAACTGTATATATTATCTTGATCATGGTGTTATAACTTGAGTCGCATTTTAAAGCTTCTTGTTTATTTAACATTCCAACTATATTCCACCACCTACCAGGTTTTAGATATTTCTTGAAATCACCTATTTAAACACAATACGTATGGGAACTCTCCCGGTGACAATATCAAAGCCGCAGGTACCCACAGCACTGCATAGGTATAACAAAAAAACTTTTGGGGTTTATAGGGGTGGTGCCACATTTTTTTATAAACAGCTGCTAAGGTAGTTAAGTAATATTAGAAATTAATTAAGGTTAGTATATTATAAGAAAATACTCTTAGGGTAGATAAGTATCGATGAACGCTAAGTTAGTTTATAGACTAGAGATATGTTTTTTAACTTCTTGCTCTAAGGCCTAAGCAAAAGTATCGACTTATATATTTAAGTATCTGTCCTTTCGACTTACTAACTTTTGAAACATTTATTGTTATTTGTTTTTATTATTTTGAAAATGAATAACGTTGCGCCTACAATCACTTTTGTGACTCTTTATATACTGCATCGTCTGTAATTATTAATAATCCTGTTCCCATTGACCTCTCAGTTATACCAAAAAACCTCATTGGATGTTAATAAATTATTATTTATGACAAAACATAATTTCAAAAGTTACAAAGTCTATCAACTGTACTTATTTTATATTATTCAATCTCCAGAATGAACAAGATACTCACACAAATTGTTTCGATATAAAAGTAACAAAAAAAAATTAAAATAATTTTGCAAAGCCTAAGATACTTCAATAGTGCGAAATTCAAACTTACAACTTTACAGTAGCTTTCACAATTTATTTATATTCTTATATGAAATAAATAGTGATTCATCAAAAAGTAAATATATTATATAGGATATATTTTTTACTATTGCCTATATACTTTGTCTAGTTCCAAAATAATTATTGTCACTCATACTTGAAGCCCAATTTTCTTTCCTATTCACCCCTTAATTTCTATTCTCCCCGTTTCCCGGTAACCATTATAAAACGTTAATGTCACCTTGACCAATGTCCCATCACGTTTAATTTATTTCTTTTAAATAAATAAATGAAGAACAATCAATAATTAACAGCGACCAATCAAAACCAAATGATGAACAAATGGCTCAAAAGCTAAAAGTTCAAAACCACAAAAAAAAATGTTGGGGTAGTAATAGGGACAGACCTATCTGACTTTATATAAGTGTTAACGAAAAAATACTGAATATGTAAATGATCATATTTAATTATACAAGCAATCTTAGTTAATTTATTTTTGAAGCAAATATCCTAACGATGATTTTTTTTATTGAAATAAGCAAATTTTTTACCATATAAAAATCTAATCCTAATATTAAAGTAAGTCACACTTAAAATTTATTTGAACAATATATTTATTACTTTTTTAAATAGAATAATATACCACAAATGAATTGCTGGCAATCTTTATATTGCACAGCTCACTGACTTCTAATATTACCACTGGTAATAATACAGGTCAGTACAGTAGCAATTGGGAGCCATTTTGGTTTTCTAATTAAATCAAAGTTTATTGAGTAAGGGTGAATATTAAGCTCCGTTTATAAGACTAAAAGTCTACGTATATCGGTAACATGAGTAATAAAAGTAATTATAACGAAGACCTTTTTGAATACATTAAAGTAAGTGAAGACGAAGATGATTCCAACGCAGTTGAGATACCTTGCGAACATGATGGGACTATGTTGTTGTCAACACTTGTGGCACAATTTCCTGGCGCGTGCGGATTAAAATATCGTCACCCTGATAGTAAAGCTACTCGCGGTATTCGTTTGAGCGATGGTAAGCTCCATCCGCCTAGTGATGCCGGCTGGGGTAAACATTTGTACATTTGTGTATTTCCAAAAGAAAACAAACGAAAGATGGAAGACGTTTCACCGGAAAATTCTGCGGCTAAAACAAAACGCTTAGAAAAAAAACTCACTTGTTCGGATTTGATTTGTCTTGGTTTGCCATGGAAAACAACTGAAGAATCTATAAAACAATATTTTGAACAGTTTGGTGAAGTTGTTATGGTTCAGTTAAAGCGTGACAAAAACGGCTCTTTTAAAGGATTTGGATTTATACGATTTGCTACTTACGCCTCACAAATGAGAGCTCTTGCTCAAAGGCACAATATTGACGGGCGCTGGGTTGATGTTCGCATTCCAAATTCTAAAGAAGGGGTAGTTCCACAAATGCCGTGTAAAGTGTTTGTAGGCAGATGTACAGAAGATATGACGGCAGATGATTTGAGGGATTATTTCTCCCGATTTGGTGAAGTAACAGACGTATTTGTACCAAGACCATTCAGAGCATTTGGTTTTGTAACCTTCCTGGATCCTGAAGTAGCTCAAAGCCTGTGTGGAGAGGATCATGTTATCAAAGGTGCATCAGTTTCAGTATCAAGTGCCGCACCAAAAATTAAAAGTAAATCCAATCCTAACTGGAAAGATGACTCCTATGGACCAAGTAACTGGGAAGGAGGTCGATCTGGGTCTTCGGGTTCGGGCGGTAGTGGAAGTAACAATAATATTGATACATTAAACATGCAGAACTTAGGTATCAATCCAAATGGTGGACCACCAGCTAATTTCAATTTGCCAATAAGTCTTGTTGCCGCAGCACTTAATCAGGCTGGTTGGGGTGGATTCTTAGGAGGACCGGGAAATTCAAATAATTGGCAAGGACCACCGCAAGGTAATTCAGGCAAAGGTTGGAACAATAATCAAAATTGGGGTCAAAATGGTCCACCAGCCTGGAGCCAGGGCAGTAATCCTGGTTGGTCTGGAAGTAAGAGCGGGAACTGGAATCAAGGAAATTGGCCTAATGGACAAAATTGGGGAGGTAATGGTGGAGGTGGCTCAGCTCCCTCGGGATCTAGCAGCGGGTGGAATAATAACAACAAGACCCAGACATGAGGTGAGCCTGCACTCCATGTAAATACCAGAGATGAGTGTATGAAGAAGTGTATATATTAAGTTCTATTGGTAGCAAATTAACATTATATGTGAAGATTTTATGTCAAAATCTATTCTTTTACTGATAGAATTATCACATAACTAGAGTAGAATTATTTCTATCTGTATTAGATATAAGCCGACCCTTGTACTGTGTGTAATTTGTGATATGGTATGATGTGTGAGACATTGAATATAAAATAAAGTATGGCATTATGAGATGGATGTTTCAATTGTGTCTTGTTTGGTGGGTATAATTTTTATTATTTGAGAATGATAGATAAAGGATGAAAAAATATCAATATTTAAATTAATTTGAGCATTTGATGTTTGGATGCATTTTGATAGGGAGTGAGTTTATGTCACATTAAGCATATATAAGCAGATACCTTGGTGTCTGTCTGTAAGCAAGAGCCCCTTCTGTCCAAATCAAATCAAATCCTGGTGTTTGAGGATGTCATCTGAGTGCTTCTGCATCAAAGTGGTGAGTGAGTTGCAATAATGGTGTGTACAGTGATGTCAAATTGTGCAAAAGTATTTATAGTTGTTGTTTATCAAGTGTTTATTTAAATCCACTTGAGGTTTTATTTAGTATTATTTTTGTCAATTTTATGCTCATATAACCTTTTGAATTATCTTTTATTTTGTTATGTGCATTTTCTAAGACACATTTTTATTTACAGGTATAGATATTTAAATATGTGAACTGAATAAGTGCTTCGTAAAAGAAGAAATGCGAGTATGAAACATACATGTGGAGGTAATTTGGTGATTTTCAAAGATACATCTTGAAACGATATTAACGTTTTATACATATAAAAATTTTGATTGTAATAATTTGATGATTAAAAAATAATACAAATTAAAAGTAAAATAGTCAAGTAAAGTATTGTTGACCTAAATTATTGAAGAGTCCAAAATAAGCAAATTAGCTTTTTCAGACAATTTGTTGCTTCTAAAATAGATATTAATAGGAATTACAAACAAAATAACTTTTTTAAGTGTATGAGGTTTATGCAGTATATTATATATAACATTTCTTTTTTTCAGATTCTGAAAAGTTGAACAGGAAGGGGGGATAAAGATGAACACAATGAATTTTATTTTAAAGCATTCTTTATAGATGTTCAATTTAATATTGGGTACCAATTAAAAGTTTTATTTACACCTGAAGCTACATTTTAATTCAATATTGAACAACTCAAAAAAATATTTAATATAGCACTCATTTGCTAAAGTAATAATTCAGTAATATCTTAATATCAACACTTGTAGTATATCACAGCAAGCATTTTTGAATACAATTAACAATTAAATATAATAGAACACTTATTTTACTTGTATGGCAATCCACAAAGATAATGTTTAATGTCATGAACTGTTTGTTTATGTAAATTTCAATAATTTATAATAATGGGCAAAAGTAGGCAAGAAATTTTGGATTGTCCAGGACTAAGTCAATTTAAACTTGACATATATATTACAAACCAAAAATATTTATACATAGGCCTTAAAATTATTTATGATTCAGTTAGAATAACTAACATTGTGATATTTTTTTATAATGAGCATAATTTAACACATTAAAACAATATTTCATTTTCAAAATAAATTATAGGTGTTAAGTAGAAAAATATACTTTTACTCGAAATAAGGCCATGTTTAGTTTTAAATTATTGTAAAAATTGTTTTATTAATTATTATTTATAGTATGAAACATGCAAAATCAAACAGCACAAATAAACATTTCTTCATTAAGGCTAAAACATTATAATTTACAGTAAAAACCACTATATTTTCACTTGTATGTCTACTGATTATATAAAATAAAAATGTAGTCTTTATGAATGCATCTTAGATGTCTTAGCTAAAACATAAAACAGTGATTAAATTGACGAGATCTATTTACCTTACTCACTAACTTACTTTCATGGGTAATTTTATTTCCTATGTATTTTCACACAACGTGTCAATGATTCTGCACATGATGATCATATGATTTTTTAGTTATGCTAACTGAAATTTCTTTTATTCATAATCAGTTATATATGTAAATATATTTCAAAACTATGGCTCGGAAGACAAAAATCAACACTCATAGTGTGTTCATATTAACTGTAAAATGAGTTCTGGTTTATTTAGAATATATTTATACCTTAAACAACAAAATTTACAGGTATTGAAAAAAAAAATTACAAGTTCCATAATTTCTAACACTTAAATTTCGTGTTATTTTTATACATTCTCATCAATTATTATATATGCACGTTTTTAAATTATGGGGGGTCATAGGAAATAAATACTATTAACCAGTAAAATCTAAAACTTAAAAAATTGAGGTAGCTGCATTAAACTTTAAGTTTCTTAGCAGGTCTTAGAGCATAGTTCAAAGTTACTTGGCGCTTGGTTGCAGTCCGCCTTAACGTTCGTCTTCCATTCAACTCAGCGTCCATCTTCAGTGCTAACTCCAAGTCACTTTTCTCTTGTTCTATAATTTTTTCAATCCTAAGCTGCTCACATAATATACTTTTCACATCACAATTTTCCAATGGACTAGACAAATTTTTAAGAGCTAATTTCACATTATTATTAATTGTTGCTCCTGTAGGTGGGCTGCACGAATCATTATTTTGTATTCGCTTCGAATCACTCCTTAAATATGGTTTACGTTCTGAATTAAATTTTTTCACTTTGACCTTCTTCTTTGGCGTCATTTCATTGTCATCCTTAGTAATGCTCCCCATTGACCTGGTCCGTCTTAGTGAAACTTCAGGATTCAATTTAGTTATACCTTCTATAGTATCCACTTGTTTATTTCTATTATATGTAGTACGTCGAGAGTTCACTGCTGGTGTCGCCCAAGGATTTGACGTCGAATTTTTCTTGGTCTTTGATCTTGTAGTTGCTCCATAATTCTTTGATATCTCCTATACAATATGAAAAGGATGATATAATATTTACTACTTAACTTGTTGAAACATTAAGTTCAATCACATTTTAATTAAATAAAATTTCTAAGAACGAAATAAAAATTAGTAGTTTTACCTTGTTTGTTTGTAATATGCCTAGTGCGATAACAAAAGCAGATGGCAGCCTGTGAGCCAGAGACAAATTCCTTAGTGTACATAACCCTTCCAAAAACTGAGCTCGGCTTGGTGAAGGATTATTTGGAGGCAGAGCTTGGTTATTATCAGGTTTTATACTTGGTATTCTTAACGGATCCTTGATTGGTGTAAAACTGAAAAAATGATAAATTGTTGCTTTTATTCATCATCCTGATGTCCATTTATTTATTTGACTCCAGGACAAAAGTCAGTTGCTTGCAGTTAAAAATTTAAAGCACTACCTTCTAAATATTTCGAGCACATAATTTGATAAATTGATATGAAGGAGAGATTTATATATACAATTTGTGAATTTGGATATATAAACACATAATTCCTTATTTTTATTAAAAGAAAACCTTTAAATATCAAGAAGTATTGCAATGTAAAATTTAAAATCTGAATGTTTAATGCACAATAAGTAATTAAATGATAACTCACTTTTCATTTAACAAAATATTTCAAACTCTACTAATTTCATGTGTTTTTTTTTTTTATATTCAAAATAATATTTACAAATTATTAAAACCGATTTATGCCACAAACATTCAATGGTCCCATACTTATATGTGGTTATTTTGAGGAAATTAACTGTATCCTTGTTATATTTTTAATTATAAGACATTATGTATATTAAACACCCATCAATTTTAGCACTTAATATATAAGAACAATAATAGTGCACAGAAGCATCTAAATAATTATTATAAGTATACCTTGTCGGAGTATTTCCTTCAATAGGTTTAAAATAACATAATTCTTGTCTCATAGAATCAACACTCCCAGTTTCTATATTCCTATTTTCTGGTATTGAAGATTTTTGATGCAGTAGTCCAGTCGGTGGTAATGGCAATGAAACAACTAATGACTGCATACCATTCCTTGTTTTCACAAGACATTTTTCATTATTCTTCTCTAATTCTTTTTCACCAGATGGCTGCTCTTCCTGAAAGTATGAATAATATTTTATTTAATAAATTTTCATATATAATAAATTTGAAAAGAGATATATTTGTTTAAAGTGTATGTATATTTTATACATCTGTGGTATAATATTAAAATAGAATTTAGCAACTGCGGTGTTTTTTAATTAGTGTTTTAATAGAGAACACTCTTGATTCATATTATTTATATTAACATTGGTGTTTAATGGTTCTAAAAAATTTTTTTCAATACTTATTTGAAGATAGCAGTTCATAATATTAATTGTATTTTATCTACAAAGGTTTTTTTTTTTCCATGAAAATAAACAGACTAAAGTTATGTAATAAATCAATATTTTTTACCTTATCCTTTACTTTTCTTTTACCATTTTCTTTATTCCAAAGAACAGTGCCAGTTTTAATTTCCTTGTCCAAAAAGTTTTTTAACAGCTTTCCATAGCTAGGTAACATTTCTGGTGACAATCTACTGTTAGTTTTGTGGGATGGTAGTATAGGTATGGAGTCATTAGTGCTTGTATTATCGTCAGTCAAAATAGGGCTTCTGGAATTATTGGTATGTTAATAATATCACAGGAACAAAATTTTCAAAATGATGTATACAAATGTTATCATTTAATAATCAAAAAGAAATTTCATAACAAAAATAAGCCTCACCCTTTAGAAAATGTGGCTTCAACTGGTTTAGTTAAATAACAGTCAATAGTTGTAGGTTTTAATCTAGGTTTGGTGGGCAAGGTTTTCTTTTTCTTCATCATATTGGATGTAGTTATATTTATTTTACTTTCTTGTTGCAACTTTATAGCTAATAGTTCATCTTGTTTAAGGTTTTCTAAATATCTTCTGTGTGCTTCTTCTTCTTCTTTATGAAGTTTTCTATAAACAAATTTATATTAAAAAAAGATGGTGGCATATTAAGTGTACCTATTTTATATTTTCTTTTCAAATTTTATTATCGGGTTTCATGTCAGTTTTAATTTTAAAATTAAAAGAATATGTTACGCTACTGTTTACTAATTTCAATTGGCTAAATTTTTATATTATTACATATTACTGCTTACATCAAGAAGTAGCACTGAGAAAAACCTCTATGCCCAATATTTAACTACAGAAGCAATGATTGTATCTATTAAACATAAATAAAAAATAAAAAAAACAAATTAATTCTGAGTTTGGTTCCTCTAAACACACACATTTTTTAAGTGAAATAATGTTCTAACATTGGAGTTAAACAATACACTTACTCAATAAGAATCTCTGTCTCTTGGAAATGTTTCTGTTCAAGACGCAGTCTCTCTAATCTAAGTCTTTTTAATTCAGCTTCATATTCAGATCTAATCTCACCAGGTTCACTTAATCGAGTTACAGTTGTTTCTAAAATTATATAATATAATTTTAAAACGAAATATTAATAAAAAAATTAATCTGTTGCTGCTTCGAATTTTGAAATAGAAATACCTAAATAGAACTGTAATTTTTTTTTTAAAGCAAGCTTTACATTTTTAAACTTTTACCTGGTGACAGTCCTACATCTTCTCCTTTAACTTTCTTATCAACCTCTGTTGCAAATTTATCTTTTATGAAATTCCATAGTTTAATGTTTACTATATTCTTTTGTTTTGTCGCTGTACGAACCCAAGAACCAATTCTCAATCGACATAGAGGACAACACAAAGCATTATTTTCTATACTTCCATTAAAACAACTTTGACAAAAGTCATGGTAGCATGGAAGAGTCACTGGTTCTATTAAAATTGACTGACAAATGGAACAAATAACATCTTTGAGTTCTAATTTATCTAAGTTTAACAATTTATTTTCAATTTTAGACAGCCGCCTCTTTGACTTGGCAGCCATTTTTGACGTTGTGATTGTTTTTCTAAACTTTCACAGATGGCGATGACATTTCTGTGTTTTATGAATCGGAAGATAATTTAGAAAACTGGAATAATTTTCGTTGTTGTGAATACATTTTTAAAGATGCGTGTTTAAAAAAACATTATTCACTTTTTGTCATTCTTAATATCAATCTCTTACTAATTTTTTTGTTACGACCTTTTGTATATACATAAAAGTATTAATAAAATGTACAAAACAATACTTGTGTTATTGATTACTTTTATTGAACTGATATTCAACTTTTATGCAGCTTGAAAATTAATATAATTTTCTATATATAAGTCCGTGGTTAATTATTATCTGTGGATTGAAATGCTTTTCATGAATACCAATTGCCAACATTTTAGACGTAGAAGCCATGTTGATATTTTCTTTCTTTTTTCGTCATGTACCGACTCACATGTATTTGAGAACGAAAAACGCTATTGAAGTTTGAGAGAATCTACAAGAAATATGGTGGTTAGAAAAGGATTTTAGATAGGAGTGTTCTTTTGTTCATACAGTTATTCGGTGATTACAAATGTGAAAGTGATCTTTATATGAAAATTATATCAAGATCTCACAAAAATGTGTTCAATGCATTTTGTGGTTCATCCATTACCTGGTACCGAGGATCAATTGATAGATAGGTAAGCTGTTATTTAACTTTCTAGTCGACTCCATTACGTTGATCATATGTGATTTGATAAAAATACTTCCATTTTATAATATTTTATGCCTATTCACTTCAGCGGATTTCAATAAGGGCCTATATAAAATGAACATTCTATAAACTGCTGCAACTTTTGCAGCTGAAAATTTTGCTTGAATTAGGTTTCGAAGATGTTATGTCCGAAATCTGCTTTCGGCTTGGATAATGGCGTAATGTATATCCGAGTCATTATTACGATGTCGGAAATTATAATGAAATGTTTATTTAATGCATTCGTTAAAACCTAAAAATAAAAATACCCTACCGTAATAGTTCCTTTATTGCACAAGCTCGAAGCATTTATAACTACAGTAATATTACCCATAATCAATATAAAGTGATTCTGAAATAGTTGTTTATACAATTAATTCAATAATAAAGAACAAACCATTTGTAATTAATTTTAAGTTATAATTGAATGACAATATTTTAGGTTACATGCTCTTATTAAATTTAATGTTATGACCCAGATGTTTTTTTAATTTATTAATTTAGATATCTGGAAATGGAGAGATCTAAAAGAGGATGCGGGAATAGGGTAAAAAAAAATGTTAGAATTTTGTATAAAAATAATAATATCTGTGAATGTATGAAACAACATTGAACATAAGTGTTGGAAATTTCAAAGGCTGAAATGTTTGTTCTTTGGCATAGGGTTGTAGGATTCCTTTCAAGGACCCATGGGTTTGTTGAAAAGAATTATTTTTTAGGTAGGTATATATAATCACCCATAACCATTCCACTGCTGGACGTAAACCTCTGGCATATCATGCTCCGGAGCTCAGTTTTCATCTTCGAAGTCACAAATATATTTTTACATATAATATTGGTTAAATTAGTTTGTTTTTAAATAACAACTGAACTATCTAAACACAACCTGAAGTGGAGGCTTAATAATATCAGGATTTTCAAAACCGACTTCCTTTTAATTCTATATTTTAATTTCATCTTGTTATAAAATCAAGTCAATTCTGTTTTTCATATGAGCTACTAAATTAAGAGGCAGAAGAAGACTTTTAAGGATTATATCACATTTTATTATGTAAAATTGAATTATATTTTATGAAAAAATTATATTAAATTTAGCAATTGGTTGTTATTTTATGTTAGTAAATTAAATGAAAATGAGTGAAAAAAATACATGAGAACATTCACTCTGTTGCAAAATACTTATTCAATATAGATTAATAGAAAAATATATTGACATTCATTTGTAATGTTGGGTTCTAATAACTATTGGTGAACATCTTCAAGTGACTTCAATTGTGTTCACTTACACTTTTTGAGAAAATTTTATTTATCTATAGAGGTCAGGTGTTATCAAAATTATCATTGTTTCACTTTAATTTGATTGTAAATTTTATGTCGATTTAAAAGTTATGTATACCATTAAAAATATAACAATAAAAAGTAAGAGCATAAAAAGACCTAATTTTAGGATTGCATTAAAAACACAAGAAGGACAGGTGGTTTTTTAATTAGTGTTCAATTTATCTTTAATAGTATTTTGTAATGTAAAAGTATGTGAATAATTTTTATATGTTGTTAAAATTAGTGACATATATTTCTTAATTACCAATAATGATTAAGATCTGACTTTAGTTCAAGCTGTTCAATTTTATTACATTCCTAAATTAATCCTGGATTGAATCTCCTCTATTCTACATGACCTGTTCAGAATATATTGTATATGTCTTTGCATGGATTTGTTATACTTAAAACAACCAACCAATAATTAGCCTTTAAGCTTAATTATATGTAGCTTTTTATAGTAACACAAAAATTTTAAAAATTTTATTATGCTCACAGCAAAAGTGAAGCGAAAGTAGTAAGAAAGGTATTAAAAAAATAATTAAGATAACAAAAAATGAAAAGGTCAAACTACAGGTCGTAGTTTAAGTTGACCTTGTTAGAAGGGACTATTCCCACCAGATTAGCAGAAATCAGAATATAAATGCTTAGAAATATGTACTCACATTAAAATGTTGATACTTTAAGGAAATTAATTAAGTGTTGGTAATATTTTATTAATTACTGAGTACATTAGTGATAAATTTGTTAATTATTATTACATGACATTAGTGAGACAAATTAGTATATAAACAATGTATTACTTATTGCTCATATTATTTTTATAATAATTAGAAGTTAGTAATTTATTGTTGGCATAAATTATTATTATGGTCACTGGGAGAGCATAAACGGCAAAATTGTAAATTGTTCATATTAATTGAAGAGGAGTTTTATTGTTCAATTTTATTAAAGTTGGTTTCTGAAGCACCTTTTAAAATGACTATTGATTACATTGCAACAAAATAAATAAAAAAAGTAATAAAAACTAAAACAAAAAAGCCAGAGTCAGATGAAGTCTTAACATTTAAGTTAATTGGTATTTTATGAAATAAAATAGGTATGATTATTATTTAACAATGTCTGTGTTAACAGTTATAAAAATCTTTGTCCATCTTTAATTACAAATAGATATTTTTTTTAATTTTCTAAACAATTTCTTTGTTATCAAAATATATTAACATCATAATTCAAAATTGCTTTTACTTCTGCCTTCGATGGTATCTAAATATAGACATTTAATAAAATCAATCTTTTGGAAACAATAGTGTTAAATAAATATAATGGTACACATAAAAAGGACTGACAATTTTCATTATAATACAGGTTTTTATTTATAGTATACACTTTAATAATAAAATAATAAAACTGATGAATCACAAATAATATAGAAACAGTATGAATTGTTGTTAAAAACCATAATTATAAAAAAATTTAGTCCAATAAATAAAAGGATCTTAAGTCTAATCAGTGGTTTGAATAAAATATATATGTCATGTTTGTTTACTTTTTTTGATACATAAAAAAGAAATTAATAATGGCATGATACATTATAACTAATTAAATAATAATTAATATTTTTTTCATTCTAAATTTAAAATAAGTATGCTACCACAAAAATTACCACCAAAATGCAGTTCTTATAATAATGATCGCACAAAAAGTAAACTCTATATAACGAAGTAAATAATCGTGATATTCAAGAAATTTTATGTTATAATTATAAAATTAAAAGTACAATATGATCATATGTTATAAATGATGATATTTATAAAGAAAAAATTATATACTTTATAGAAATCATATTTTGGTACACAGTCAAAATAGTTTGCTTAATCTAAATCCATTTATTATATATTCTGGGAAATTTCAGTTGACTATTTTTTGTTTGTATTTTTACTACCTGCATACCGATATTGTTAAAGCACTTGCAATGTGCGAATTATCGATCGCTATAACGCCGTCATTGCTCGTAATAGATGTGCCTATTATATCTACAACATAATATGTTATATAGTTTTACAAGTAAATGTACTAATATCATAGAATTTTATATGCCTACTTTTCTTAAAACAATAGTCTTTTTCATCAAGGAAAAGTACACTGAGAAGAAATATGTACAATGTTAGATGGTTTTACATGACAGTGTATTTAAGCTGTCTTAATTGAGGTGTATAAAAAATATTTTATGTACAGTTTTACCTTTTAAAAGTTCAGGCATTTGTATAATTATTAAATTTAGTTATTATATTAGTATTTCGTTTTTCTTATGTTACTAAGATAGAATATCTCAGGACAAAACTGTAATACTTCTTACAACAAAGCTAATTATAAGATAGCCCAAGCTCATACATTTGTATGTAAAGTTGTAAGCATAAAATGCTAACTACTTTTATGTCTTTTTAAACCAGTTCTCATTATTTTTAGTACAGTATCAGACCTATATAGTCGTGTGTGAGATTGATTTTAGTAAGACCTACATTTAGTTGCCATTAACAAGGTGAAGAATTTATTTCTCTAAATTTAAACGTGATAAAACGTGCCAGATATCAACGAATTATATAGTGTTATTAAAACTCATTTATTTCTTTATTTATACTAAATTTTTATTTGTTTTATATCAGTTTAAATATTTTTTTACCTAAAAATAACGTTTATAACATAATTATTTACTAAATTCATTATAACTTTAAACATATAATGAAAATATGTACATTGATTAATTTTCTATTTAGTACTTTTGAAACACGTTACGAACATGACTTACAAAGAGAGAGTAATCATTTAAAGCTTATATTTGTAATGGCAACATATACTTCGCAACTGTTTGGATGATTTATTATCTCATTAAAATAATGGAATTGCTTATTTCTTTTATTAACAGTAATCAAGATTTTTAAGTGCTTTAAAGTATTTGTGTAGAAATGAGTTCGACTCAATTATGAATTAATATGTTATTAATATTTTCATATAAAACGTTATTTTCAGACTTCGAGAGGTAGCTGAACGTTGGAACAGATATGGTACCGGAGCCGCGCCGTCCGCTCTTTCGTCTCTGCGAGGCGTCCGGGCTGTTGCTGCGGGACCGGCCCATATCGCTTGTTTGTTGGAAGATGGTTCCATTTGTCGAGCTGCCTTCTCCATTATACCCGACAGATTGGATTTAAGCAAAGCGGATGCGAGCAAAAGTGGTGGAAATGGTGGTGGAGGAAGCGGTGGAGGTGGAACCAGCGGTGGGAAACAGGGAGGCAGCGGAGGGGGCTGCGGCTCGAGACAACAGCCACGCACTCGAGCTAGAATTATGAGGAATTCTATTCGCGCTGCACCGAGTTCACAAGGTAATTTAATGTAAAAACTAAATTCAACAACAATATATTATATCTAGGAAATTTTTAATTAATATTTCTGATAAATTTATTTCGAAGGGTCCACAAGTAGGGCTACGGGTGTTATTATAGGAGCATCTGGGTCGAGTAGAGTTGTATCTACGGTTCCAGCCCCATTCGTTCCAGAAGATCTAGTTACTCAGGCTCAGGTTGTCCTCCAGGGGAAGAGCAGGAGCTTAATTATACGAGAACTACAGGTATTTTTTTTCTATTTAGTTATTTGGCTCAATAAAAAATATTTTTAATTTCTGTATATTATTTATTAATCATATATTATGTCGTGCAGCGCACAAACTTGGATGTAAATCAGGCGGTGAACAATCTGCTGTCGAGAGATGACGAGGAGGGCGAGGAGCCCGAGGGAGGAGAGGGAGGTGACGGTTACGTGCCCGAGGATCTCATTTCCCTGCTGGATGGAGGTTTCCACGCAACCCAGCAAGACCAGTCCGTCATCATAGACGCGGACGCCATGTTCTCCGAGGACATCTTCGGGTACGCGGCTGTCAGAAGGTATCCCGTCAAGCTACGCTCCTGGACCTCGTCTATCCCACCAGTAGAGTTTAAAGTAGACCTCTACCCAATTTACCACGCAACTCGCTTACGCAGTTTTAGTTCTGTCTTGTGATTGGGTGTTTTTGTTCTTTTGGTGTTATTATAAAGTTTTTTTTTATATTTGAGTCTGCATCATCATCATTTTCCAATAGATTATCAGTATAATATCCTTCGTGTTTTTAACATTAAATCAATGTGTCTGTTAGTTGAACTACAATTCAAATTGAAGAGATTCAATTAATACTCACCTTATTGCTATAGACACTGTGGCATTATTGGTAAAGGATCTGAAAGTAATAATTGATAGTAAAGATACATCAAATTAAAACATAATGATGATGATGCAGGTCTTTTACCTCATGTGAAGATATATAAGAATTTTATTAAATAGTCGTAGCGGAGGTGGTGGTGGTAGTGGAGGTGGCCGCGCGGGCGCCAGTCGTGAGAGTAGCAGTTCCACACAGGAACGTCCGTCAGAATTCAGCCGCTGGCGTGAGAGGCAGTACTTCGGTCCACGTCGGTGGCTCGAGTCTGCATTGAGAGACACCTCGTGGGACAAAGAAGGAGGTATTTTGTCAAAAAAAAAAAATTAAAATTATTATTTATTACATAATAATCGTGATTGCGTTTGTAACAAAAAATGTAATTAACCTTAAATTGATGATTTATTATTTCTAGAAGAGTTTAATAACTAGCCCAAAAGATTTTGATGAAAAAGTAATGTTCCTTTTAAATAAACTTTCCTTTTAAAATGTGTATTTTCACATATGTCTTATTTTTACTGCAATAATCATGATACAAACAAACCTACATATGTTATAACCAAACGAGCAGTATGTGTATTATATTATAATAATTTAAATTATAGTTGAAAACAAGAAGAAAGATTCCGCCATGGCGGCATCGCCATTGTGGGTGTCTGAGGAATTGGAATATTGGGATAGCAGCATCCGGTTTACACACATCGCTGCTACATACAGTGAATTAATTGCGATCTCAACCCAAGGACAATTGCATCAATGGCGCTGGGCCGATGCGCATCCATACCAGCGTAATGATGTAAATATACCATAATACTATTAATGTTGATGATATTTCCTTTATAAATTTTTATTACAATATATAACCTCTATGCAGGCTTCTGGAAGCATTTACCACCCTCGTGGTAATTGGTTGGGTTTAGCACCTGGTGAGAGAATAGTCAGCGTTAGTGCTGCCGGGATACGCGTGTCTATTCTCAGTGATGGTGGACGTATCGCTACATTTTTGGACGAATCAATAGGTGAATAAGATTAATGTTTATATTATTCTACAATTATTACACTAAATATTTTTTTATTAATATAATATTGAATTTTCAGCACATGCCCCGGGAGCTGCTCGTCTAGAACATCAATTGCAGACATTTACTGAATTTGGATCTGATAGATCTGTATCGCTGCACGTGTGCTCATTGTACACTGTTGCAAGACTGGAATCTGGAACGCTATACTGGTGGTGCGAATCTTTATATTTATATTAAAAATAAACATTAAACAATTCTTGTTTGCGTTCAATGTATGATATATTTTTATTATTAGGGGTGTCCTGCCATTGGGTCAACGCGCTCGTCTTTGGGAGAAACATCGAGCCCGGTCTCGCAAACAACAACGTGGCCACTCATCTAATACACCCACTGATCTTCAAGCTGGACAGAGTGTCACTATGAAGAATGCACCTATGTACCAACCTGGTGCCATCGGTTAGTATTATTGATCCTATTTTCGTAATAATTCTTTTAATAGAAAAGTACATATTTACATTTTTTAAGAATACCTTTTTAAAATTCACGCTTTTATCTCTCTCTTTAGGTTTTAATATGTCAACGGGAGTGCCAAAAGTTGGAATATTACAAAACGCGGCTTGGAATTTATCCGACACTTGTCGTTTTAAGTTGCTTCCCCCTCCACAACCTGATCGCTCTATTTCAGACAAAGACAAGAGAGATTTACAGGTATATTACAATTTGTAATTTTTTTAAAATTTCATCTCACATTCGCACTTAAAACAGTCGAAACCTCTGCTTATTGATTCTGAACTACGACATTGTTTTTTTTCAGAACCAATCTCCGCTAACAGTGTCTTCAGTGAAGGCATCCTCATCGAACAGTAATAGCAAGGACGGCGGTAAAGATAGTAACAAAGACATGGCTGATCGGCTCGACATGCCGCCGCCGCCTAGCCCTGCATCATCTACGTGTAGCGATACTAGCACTTCCCATAGTTAGTATATTTTATATCAACATAATACAATCATACGTACTGTATGTAATACAATCTTAATATACCAAATTTAATTTCAGAACGGGCAAAACGCGTAACAGTTCGTGGCGAAGAGGGATCGTCTAACGATGGTGCTAAACGCGACGAAGAAGAGTGGCCTCTCAAAGAAGTTGTGTTTTTGGAAGATGTGAAAAGTGTTCCGCTTGGCCGTGTATTAAAAGTGGACGGGGCTTACGCAGCAGTCCGTTTTCCATCTGTGGGCAAAGACGGGAAAGAGATTGTGCCATCAACCTCTGACGATATGCTGACGGTACTACAGGATTGTAGATTGGTACGCAAGGATGACTTGGTGGCGGTGAAGTGGGGCGCGGGCGGCACCGCCGGGCCGCGCGGACCCGACTGTCTGCAGCGATCACCTAGGAAAATAACATTACCTCCAGATCTAAATGTTATAACTATCGCCGTGAGTTACTATTCTTTACATCACTATTTATTATGGATTATATTTTATTTCTACTATTTGTCATGATTGTTGTATATTAATTAAAATCAACAACACAATGTGCACATATTTTTGAACATTATTTTATTCTCAAAATTGGGTTGTAACGCTTATAGGTTTAATTAAATTAAATTATATTACTGTGGTCTTTGTTCATAATAAAATATAAACTCTCATTAACTTATAGGTCGATAATCGCGGAGTACACGCAGTTGTCCGACGCCCTGGTGGTGCCTTAGCGTATGCTGTGTACGCAGTGGGCACAACCCGCGCCCTCACAGACAGCACGTTCCCCACAGACCATACCGCTCTACTGGGTTACTCTAATGGTCAAGCTATACAGCTAACAACTGCAGCTGAGGTTTGTAGTCATATCGCTATCTTTTATTTAATAAATTATGAGATCAATCATTTTGTATGTGCTTATTAATATGTTCGTATTGTATTCATGCTATAAACTCGAATCAAATACCTTCGACATCTCCATCAGTGGCGGCTGGTGGGTTATCGAACTGGTGGTGCACTTTACTAAAATATTAAAATTAGATAATGCAACAAAACATAACGAGATGTCAATCATGGCTCAATTCGTCATACATCGGGTGCTCTCGGTAATCTTCGGCCGCTCGTGCGGCGCTCGAGAACCGACTCATTACTCGGTACATTTCTATGAACTATCTTTTGTTTCACGCGCCAGGCGTATTAGTGCGTATCTCATACAAGATGTATTAGCAGTCCTCGTGCACTCGCCGCAGCGCACGAGATATTAGTTTAGTAAAGCGCTCAAACTTTTTGACTATAATTAGAAATTTAACTTTTTATACGTATTTGTATGTTTAGAAAATAAATATTAAAATGGTAATTTAAAAATAAAGATGAAGTAATATTTTGTAATTTTTAAATCTTTGAATTGGTGGTTCAGCGCACGAGTGCACTTAAGGTACAGCCGCCACTGATCTCCATTATCACTCACCACGAAGTAGGTTAGGTGAACACTATGCCATTAGGGGGTGTTCATAAAATACGTGAGATGTTTAAGGGGGGAGAGGTTGAGTCAAATCTCATCTAGTCTTACGTTAGAAGGAGAGGGGGTCTCGGCAAATATCACGTAATTTTTTTTCTGAATGAAACAAAATACATTACTATTTTGGTACATTTCATCCAGATTGTACATGCTTCAGATTTAAACTTAAGCGTTATCGTAATACGCTTAAGATCATTCCATAGGGAATATAATAATAGGTAATCTAACGCGTTAATGTAAGAAACCCACATTTCGAAAAATTTTATGAACGCCCCCTTAGGAATTAAAGAACAAAATCGTCAATCTTCCAAATAGTAAATGCATAATCAATTATTTTAAATGGTTAACAGGGAAGTGAACCAGTGGTGATGATGTTAGATGGCAACGGCGCCCTGTACCCCGTGTCTCGGGATTGTGTTGGCGCGGTCCGCGAGCCGCCGCCGCTGAACCTTCCTCCCGCACGAGCGCTCGCAGCACACGCGCTGCCACTACAGCCGCACCACCCACACCATCCACATCATCCGGCCCTTAAATCACAGGTACACTTACATATATTTTTCAACAACAATAATTTATTTTTAAAATTTAAAAAAAAAAACAAATAAATACTAGAGAACCTGTAAAAACAGTTCTATTTCATTTGAGGTTCTAAATTGGTTTACCTTTTTAACATACATACAAACATACAAATTATTTTTTTTTTATTTATACAAAACAATGTTTAGTTTATTTAAGTCATTAATTCTCTCTTCACAAAATACTTGATACACATCATCTTATATAAATATACATAAGTGAGAGAATGGAGCCCGTAATGGGTATAGGAATACCTGTACTACAGGTCTCCATGTACTGTACATTTAGAATAACATACTCAAATCAGATAACTACATTCTAGCCTAGATTTGAACATGGAATCATTTGCGTGTTTTATAATGTAAAGTTTCAACTAATTTTACTAAAAAACTGTTAATTAGTATGTTATCAAGTTTACTTTGTCTTTTATCTTTTATGATTTATATCTATCTATATATATAAAAGAAAGTCGTGTTAGTGACTTCACTTATAACTCAAGAATGGCTGAACCGATTTAGCTGAAAATTGGCAGGGAGGTAGTTTAGAGCCAGGAAATTGCAATAGGATACTTTTTATCCTTTTCGACAGCATTCCCGTGGGACTTGACATGAAACGTCAGTCACTATAAAACGTGGAATAACAAAACACAATTGACAGCTATGCAATTGACGTATAATGACAGATATGTAATGACGTAATGATGACAATTAGATATTTGTAAGAGATCTACTATATAAAAATAAGTCCGGTCCGGAACGAACTAATTTCCACGGTTTTGCATTCGTTGGAAAGGTCGCGGGTTCCGTAAGGTATATAACAAAAAATTTCAACAGAAAAGCGGGAAAATCTTACATAACATGTACTACAAATCAATATTTTAAGTAGATGGTGCCGGTGCATGATACATTGGTTGACAGCTACTCATTGTTCTCTGCTCAGTTAATTTCATGTGACAAACCGGTATTGTGTTGGTAGTTTGAACTCTTAAAACCATTTAGTATTTGCGGGATAAATTTAGAAAACATTGTTTTTCACATGGGCGTTATATTTTGCGTGTTCACGAGTTTGGAAACCATCCGCTTTATTTGTGTTAAAGTTAGACCAAAAAACAAAAAATGTGGTTTACAAAGGACCACTTCAATGAAACGGATAATTTGCGGACACGTATAACGCTTCCATTCGGTATCTACTTTGGATTCACTTTCATTTACTTAGAGAAGTTCAACTAAATAACACTTCATTTTTGTAAACGAAATGAATTCATTACAGTTGTGAAATGAAATAAAAATTTTCCTTTTCAAATATGAAATAAAAAAAAATCTTCATCTTTTAATCACCAACGAAAACGAAACGAAAAACGAAACGAAAACCTTTTGGTGGCGAAACGGAGTTCGCCAGGTTTACTAGTATAATAATATAGTCTTTGGAAAAGTTCCGTAGGTTTATAATTTATATCGACACTTGTGTTTTGAATAATGTTTATTACTAATTCCACGCAGGTTGCATTAATAATAATGGTTCCGGAACCCCAAATAATGATGCCTCGCGTTCTACGCTGCGACCTAGATGGTCTCAGACAATTGCTGCACCAACTTGAATCAGATTCAAATAGTAAGTTTAAAATGCTAAATATCCATAATATTATATGTATATGCTTTTGAGAAACAATTATATTAAACTGTGATTATAATCCAACAGAACAACAAATTCTTTCAATCCTGCAAGAGCGCTGTGACGGTAATAGAAACATACTTCACGCGTGTGTGCACATGTGTGCTCCGACATCTAATAAAGAACCCGACATTGGTAAGCAATCGGCATTATAGTAATTAGAATGATCTATAGATAATATATTGTTAAAAAATATATATTTTCAGTGGACAATGCGTCAATGCCTAATGTGCCAGCTGGTACTGGTGGTAGTGGTGCCAGCTCTGAAGAATCCGTACCAGCTCTCTCCTGGCCACCAGAAACATTCGAGGCTTCTGGAGATGAAGATAGCTTAATGGGACTCACTAACAATGGGTAAATTAATAACTATTATCTAAAATATGTCCGAATTTCTATAAAGTAAAATTTTTGAAAATAATCATATTTTTGATTATAAGCCTATTAAATATTGCATAATTATATAGAAAAATTACAAGTGGCAGTAACAACGGCGGCAGCTCAGTGAGTGCAGACCCCGCAGAACGTCGCGGTAACGCTCTAGCGGCATTGAGGACGCTCTGCGAAAGTTCAGTACTGCAGCCTTACCTCATGCAGCTGCTTACTGGCAAGTGAGTATAAAACCTAACATATAACACACTTAACAACATATAATACAGTTAATCATAAATATTAAAATCTTCTCTACGAAATCGATACGTTATTTAAAGTGATCGTTTAATACTATTATTTAACTTTCATTTAACAGGGATGGTATGGGACAAACGCCCCTGATGGCAGCGGTGGCTGAACGTGCTTACCGCGCCGCTCTAGTGATTCTCGACGCTATCAGAGCGTGTTCCGATGCTGACGAGGCTCAGCGGTCAGCCGCCATATTCCCTCCCAACGCACATCCCGACCACTCGCCCCTGTTAGTTCTGTGCTGCAACGACACCTGCAGCTTCACCTGGACGGGACAGGATCACATCAACCAGGTATATGGAGATATTTACTATATTTAGGATTCGGATCTTTTAGTAATTTAGTTGATCGATCGATAAGTAATACTATATTATACGTTTCAGGATATATTTGAGTGCAAAACGTGCGGACTCACTGGATCTTTGTGTTGTTGCACTGAATGTGCTAAGGTACACTTGAATTATAATTTTATTCTATCAATTCCATATCTGTATGATAGGAATTATGTTTATATTTTATTCCATTCTAAAGGTGTGCCACAAGGGTCACGACTGTAAACTGAAACGCACGTCGCCTACGGCTTATTGTGACTGTTGGGAGAAATGTCGCTGTAAAGCATTGTTGGGTGGTAACTGGGCCGCTCGATGCGATCTACTCGCTCGACTTGCTAGAGATACACAACTCGCCACACACTTCAATTCTAGGTAAATTAAACATTTTTATATTTATATTTTTAATACCATGATTAAGATTTGTTTTAGCTGTCACAATATATCGACTAACTTAACGACTTTCAATCTACGGCAAGCAAAATATTTTTTTTATTAAAATTCCTCATTTAAATATGTTTATCATATTGTTGTTATTCTAATAACCATTTAATTAATTTATGTAATTTGTGTATGAATTCATACTTGAGAAACTGCTACATTAACTTTAGAAATAGACAATTATAAACACGGACTATTCGTATACTAAACAAATTAATATTCCACAGAGGCGAATCCATCTTACTGTTCCTAGTTCAGACGGTGGGTCGGCAGGCGGTGGAGCAGCGTCAGTTCCGCTCGGGCAGCGGTCGAGGTCGCGTGCCTCGCAAGCAACCGGGCTCAGACGCGGAGGTGGACGTGCCGGACCACGACCTCGAACCTCCGAGATTTGCGAGACGTGCCCTCGTGCATTTACTAGGTATTTATAACACTCACACTTAATACCATTAATAAAATAATTTATATTTATATCCCTATTATTATATTTTATAAGTCAGTGGTGGCCTAGTGGCTGAAAGGGCCACCTCTCATACATGAGGGTTCAATCTTGGCAAGTACCAATGTGATTTTTCCGAGTCACATGTACATTTTAAGACTATTTAGACACCACTGATTAATGTATTCCCAAAGAGGGTTGAGGCGGCCGGTCGTTAAAACAATTAGCCAAAACTATTCAAAATATGTAAGGCAGACCCTGACTAAAGCTAGGAAATTGCCAGGAAGAAGAGAAAAAGAAGATGATTATTATACATATTTTTCATTACTTTTTGTAGGAGATTGGCCTGCAGTTGAAGCCGCAATAATGTGCGGCTCGAACGGTTCCGAAGCTGACACTGGCGCCGGCACCACCGTGCCACAACAATCTGGAACTACTCTGTTAGACAAATTTACACATGCACTGATCGTAAAGTGCACTAATGAGGTAAATTTTAATATACTTCAAGTAATAATATTAAGGAATCACCTTCCCGGTGATATTTTTTTTCAGGTTCAGCTTATTGTGTAAGTAACAATAGTTTTCTTTAATATGCTTAAACTTACTCATAAGGTTGTGCTTTTATGGAACAAAACTAATAGAATAATTTTAACCTGTTTCTATTCGTATTAAGAGATGAAATAACTTATTTTGTCTAAATTAATTTTAATAATTTAGATTTGATGTAACTACTTCACTTTAATAACTTTGACTTTAATAATTTAGATTTTATGTAACTAAACATTCCCAAATTATAAACATTTATTTAAAAAATAAGAATTTCTTAACTTAAATCAGTATAAATATATACTAACGTACCGTCACTAAACAATTGATTTGTTACAGATGCTAGATACTCTCTTACACACGTTGATCAGGGAACAACAGAACGACAGCATCCCCGGCCGGGCTGAGCGTGCTCGTGAAGTGACCAGGCGATTTGTGCGCTCCGTCGCTAGAATCTTTGTTATATTCAGTGTTGAAATGGCACCGGGAGCGGCTAAGAAGAAAGGGTAAATATACAATTAGAACTAATCAATTATTAAAACGAAAAATAATGTCTTTAAACTATAATCTAATTGATACATAATAAATAATATATATTTATTTTTAGTCCATTATCGATTACATCGTCGCTGGTGCGATGTCGACGTGTTTTTGGGGCGCTGGAGGCTCTCTCAGTGGAAGAGTTAGTAGAGGCCGCCGACGCGCTCCTAGCGCCGGTGCGACTCGGTGTAGTTCGTCCGACTGCGCCCTTCCCACTAGCGACCACTTACGTAGATCTGGTGAACGGCAGTGAAGATCTGTTTGGTGTCGAACCGCTCTCTACTGGACATTCACGAATAACACACTCCCGAAGGTAAATATATGCAGATGTGGCTACTATAAATGTGTTTTTTATACAGCTGCGTGCAAAAGTATTAGGCACCCCTATTGTTAGTCACTATCTCATTAGATAGCGGTCAAGTGTGTGTTTTATGGTTTAGCTATTGTATTAGCGGCAATTTTTAACCAAATTAAGATAAAAGAAAATATTTATGACATCCAGGTGTGCTCCTAAGCGGTGTTACTTCGAATTTGCTTTTTTTGCGTTTCGGGTTATAGTGTGTTATCAGTGCTTGCAGTGAACATACACGTCTTCTACGCAACTATTCCTATCACAATTCTAAAGACTAACATTTAACGTGTTAATCATGCCGAAAAAATCTGAACTTAGTGCTGAACAGCGTCTAAGAATTAAGATTTTACATGAACAAGGCATGTCTCAGGTTAAAATAGCCCGAGAAGTGAAGTGCTCGCGATGTGCAGTTCAATATGCTATAAATCGCTTCAAAGAGACTGGCACCCATGAAAATAGACCAAGAACAGGCAGAAGAAAAGTTACTACTGAACGGGAAGATCGATTGTTGATTAGGCAGTCTCTACAAAACAGGAAAAAAACTGCTTTAGAGCTCGCTGCAGCATTATCTGAGGCAAAAGGCAGCTCAGTGAGTGTTTATACTGTGAGAAGAAGACTTCTTAAAGCTGGATTAAAAGGATGTAAAGCAAGGAAGAAGCCGTGGCTGTCAGAACACAATAAGAAAAATCGGTTGGAGTGGGCACTCAAACATAGAGATTGGTCAGTGGAAGATTGGTCCAACATACTGTGGTCAGACGAATCTAACTTTGAGGTATTGTTATTTATTTTATGTACAATATTAAAACACATAAATGTTTTTAAAATAACGTAATGCAAGAAAAATAATAACTTTGAAAATAAATGTGTTTTTTTCCTTTGGCATAGGTGTTTGGAACACCCGGTGTGACTTATGTTAGGCGAAGGGTTGGCGAAGAATACAACCCAGAATGTGTGGTTCCCACTGTTAAGCATGGTGGAGGCTCAATAATGATCTGGGGCTGCATGGCTGCCGACGGAGTGGGCGAAATGGTATTGTGTGAGGGACGAATGAATAGTGTTAAATACACTGAAGTTCTGGAAACAGCACTAGCAACGTCGATAACGCAAATTTTCGGTGATACAAACACCGATGGCCTGAAATTTCAGCAAGACAACGCCACTTGCCACAAGTCCGCGCATACCATGAAGTGGTTTGCTGAAAATCATATTGATCTTTTGGACTGGCCACCACAATCACCAGACCTCAACCCGATTGAGCATATTTGGTCCATTTTAAAGAAAAATATCCGTAGGCACTCGATTAGCAATAAACAAGGTCTATTGACCGCGTTACAGCAGGAATGGAAAAATATATCAAGAGAAGAATGTTTCAGGCTGGTAGAGTCAATGCCAAAAAGAGTGGCTGCGGTTATTAAGTCAAAAGGTGGACCTACAAAATATTAATTATTTTCTTAAAATAAACCATTGTGATCATAAATGCAGTTTTATTTAGACTCGCTATGCTAAAACACCCTAAAACTTGTCTTACTGTAGGGTGCCTAATACTTTTGCCCGTGGCTGTAATACAAACATTTTTTCAATGATAATCATCTATATAAGTGTAAGTAGCGAGGACTTCTTGCTCTGTTTGCCTTATTTATTTCCTAAATAAGCGTGGAACTGAAGAAAAATTATATTTCGAAATTAATATCCTGTTCTTATAAATGATCTAGATATCATAGAAACAGCTAACGAAAAGTTTTAACTTAAATAATTGATACTTAAAGACAGGTATTATTAAAATTTGTGAACCTGCTTGTAGGGAATCGAATGTGGCGGGTGGTCGAGGTGTCGCAGCTGGTGGCACGTCGATGGGGAGTTCCACTTTAGTTCCCGACCGTTCCTCTACACCTGTGGCCACCGAGTACCCGGACGACGTGGCTGGGGAGGCTCTGGGAGGCGATGATGACGCTTCGGAGACAGATGAGTCTAACATACCCGCACCCGTCCCACCTACAGAGTCACAACATCACGACGACCCAATGGGTGACAGGTTAGAACTGGTTCTAAAATTTACGGTTGTATATAAAGCTTTTAAAAATCTGGAACTAATTTCAAATTCTCATGGATAATTGAGGTCCACATTACATACCCGAATAATGTTTTGAACTTGAGGTGGGAATGAGTTTTTTTAAAATTTCACACGATTTAAACAGAGGACAAGAGCAACATGTGGTGGTAGAAAACGGAACAGAACGAGCCGAAGGTGGTGAGAGCGAAAGCGAATTAGATTTGCTGGCGGAAGCGGAAACGGAGAGTGACTCAGACGATCAAGATAACGCTGAATCAGCACAGCGGAGTGTACAGACGGGAGCAACGCAAGGATCAGATGCCGGTAAGTTGATAATCATTTGAGCTTCGTGAACAAAAACCATCATTTCTAAACTAAAAGGCTTTGCTCTTAATAAACATTACAAAATAGTCGTATAGTTGCGCAAAGGAATATCAGGCGGAAAGCCTGATATGTTATTATTGAAGTTATCTGGTGCACTGCAACAGGCATAGCATCGCTATTGCTGTATCCAGAAGACGAGAGCGGCGACTCCACGCAGCCCGAGGACGAGGACTCCGAGGCCGGCGAGACTGACGAACAAGACGCGGAGGCCGAGCTGCCCCTACACGACGGAGAACCGCTGGAACGACGCTCCGCACCTCCCTCCAGACCCAATCTGGCGCCTCATTCGATGCAATGGGCTATACGGTACGCGCTCACAAATAAATATTACAGTTAGAATTTATCACTGTCCAGATTGTGGAAACCGTAGAAACAGTTTCAAAACCAACTGCCCTAATTTTCATTTCAAGGTACATGCACAATTAAAATATATGATAACACAAAGAAAATGTTATTGAATAGTTAAGTCTGATCTAAATATAAAAATCTTCCATTATTCCCTCTCGATAGTTAACTAAAGAGATTTGTTGTTTCAGTTCTCGTGAGACATCCCGCGGTACTACAAGTAGTACGAGCGGTGTTCGCCTGACCGGTCGCTCGTCCCTCGTGTTCATAGACCCGACCTCACTTGGACGTTCTACTGCGGCGGCGGCCGCGGGGGCGCACGACCCACACTCCACATCTACCACTGCGTCTTTCCTTGCACGTGCTTTCGGTAAGTAGAATCCTTCACATCTTAATATGATACTTGAATTAATATTTGGAAACAGTTTTTAGTCGCGTATAATTTATTATACTGGTATACCACGTTAGATAAATGAAATGTAGCTCAGGTTTATTGGTGCTCCAACTTTTTATTTATAATAACTTTAAACTATTTTTGGTTCACAGGCATTGTAATTCGAGAAATAACTGATCTACTCTGGGAATACGAGCGTGTAACACTGCCGTTGCCGCGTAAGTTGCATCTGGCTCACAGAGAAGCCCTGCGGTTGCAATGTTACCTCGAGCGCCAGCTTAAACAAACTTGGGATTGGCTAGTGACGGTCATGGATGCTACAGAAGCACAATTAAGGTGATAATTCGTTTTTTTAAAAGTATAATTGTTATAAATCTAAGTAATAAAAAGAGACATGAACGTAAATTTTATTTTTTTTAAATAGATTTGGAGCTTCGTTAACTTCAAACAATGCGAGCACATCAAATAGTGATAACCGTTCGTCAGCGCCCGTTGCCCGGCGCACACCCTCCTTCCCTTCACCAGCAACGAGGATTATTGGCTTTTCAGAAGCTCCACCACGCAGAGATCGGGAACAAGGTGAAATTACTACAACCGCTTTGTAATACAATCGCCTTGCTAATATCCATCACATTTTTTCACATCTTTATATATATAATTCTTCTGTGAGTGTGTATGTCACTGTACTTCTCTCAAACGACTGGACCGATTTTGATGAAATTTTTTGTGTGTGTTCAAGGGGATCTGGGAATGGTTTAGATAAACAATTTTGTCTGCTGGACAATGTTTTTTTAATTAATTTTTAATTTATTAGTAGTTGTTGATACAAATGTTTTTTTTTGACATTAGATTTGACAACTAACTAATATGTCAATCATTCTGTCGCACTTCAAAAAACAGAGATTTATGGCTTTAATAAGTAAACTCCAAAAATATAAATAAAAAAACGAAACAAATATTTCTTGATTATAGGGCGATACGAAGTTCGCCGGGTCTTCCAGTAACCATATATAAATGTAACCTTTTTAAAAATAATTTATATAGGTGTAGAAGCTGGAAGTGCTCGTCGCGAATTCCTCGCATACTGCCTGTCCTTGCTGCGCGCCCACAGCGCCGAACATGCGGAACAACTGCCTGTGCTGGACGTGGCCGCCTTGAAGCACGTGGCATACGTACTGGACGCTCTGGTGTATTATATGAGGGCAGCGCAACCACAACCACATCACCACCAACATTTATGGACATCGGTAAATATTTAGCTAATAATTATAGGCGATTGAATTATTAGGCTTCGTTTAGATGATTACCACTTGTAATTGTATTTTAGTATGGAGCCGCCTTCACTACATACAAAAGAATTATTTAACTATCCTTTTATTCTGAAATATCGACGTTCAATAAATAGAAGTTTTTGAATTCAATATATTTAAGATTCAAAAAATGTATTAATTTTCTTACGAAATGTATTATTCAGGATGAAAATGAGAATGAGGAAGGTGAGGAAGAGATGGTGGTAGGTGGTAGCGCGGCGGCCGAGTCGGACGGTGAGGGTGACGGAGCCCGCGGACGGACTCACGCGTTCTTCCAGCGCTCAGATTCAACGCTATGTCTCGGCTGCCCGCCTCCCGATCCGTTTAACAGTAAGTCTACAAATGTATTTGTAGTGTATGTATCTATACAATAGATATAATACACTGTCTCACGTACCACACTAGAGGGAGTGGCATGCGCTCGGCGGTGTAATGACTAGCGCGGAGTGGAACGGTTGCGTGCGCCTGCGCTCTAGGCGTGGTAGTAGTTAACCAGTGACTACATAGTTATACTTACATGTAGAACCAGGGATCCTACAGTATTGATTAGTTATTATCAATATATCAACTTTATAAACTTCCACTCTACAATTGCTGCATTAACTGTACAGGATTATACAGGGTGACTGGTGAATTACTATCGATACTTGAGGACGTGGTAGTTGACGATCGTATATGACAAAATAAAAATTAATATAACATAAATATCAATAAACTTCTAAGTAAAGTTAACCAAAAGTTATGTAATTAATTACGCATCGTGTGAACACCCTACAGATTAGGTATACACACACACACGCGCGCGTGCGGCGGCGTGGTGTTGTATCAGCACGCCGCCGGACGCGTCACACTTGGAACGTGTGCACACTTTATTTATTTATACGGAAATTTGGTCAAAAATTAAGTACCTATTTTTTTTTTACATAATTCGAATGAGAATCATGTACCGAGTATTCTCCTTAAATATTGATAGTAATTCACCAGTCACCCTGTATATGGGTAATTTATGAAGTTTGATTGGATATGTATGGTTAAAAAAGAAAGAATAATTAACTCATACTTTATACAACATTACTAAAAAGAAAGTTATACATATGACACAAAAGAACTTCTTAATAAGAACTTCTTTTAAAGAAATGTATAATCAGGGATGTAATTAAATTCTGTTCAAATAAGCCAAAATATATATTATGAATTACATATTATATTTGATATTTTGTATTTATTGAAGGGTTAGTTGATTAAAATTTTCATTTGAAGCTATAGTTTCAAAGCGTGTTAGTTGTTATATGTCAGAAAGTAAGTTTTGTATGATCTTCTAAACCTTATGCAACACAATTTTCAGTGACAATGCAAGATGCGTTGCCTCTGGCCGATCAACCGCAACTTCTGCAACCTAACGCCCGTCGGGAGGAATTGTTTGGAATGCCACGTCAACCAGTCACTGTGCCCACCACTGGAGAGGGACCTCCTGGTATAAACAACCCATTAGAAGGTATATAAATTAATAGCTATATCACCAATACGTCTATTTATGTAATATTATTTGATTATTTGATATAATTTAGAAGTTTGTTCATTAAAATAAAATTTAATCATATTAAAACTGTGTTTAATGTGCAGTTTCATACATTAATTGATCAATAAATTCGTGTTTAGAAGTACTCAAGTGAGTGCATTTGGATAATTTACGTATATAATATTGTATCCAGTGGTTCCTCGGCGACTAGGACTCTCCAGCCGAGGCACGGAGCGCGGCTGGTCACCGCCGGCCCGCCCCGCTTCCGCTCCGCCGACACACAACCACACCCTCACGAGAGATGAACCACAGGTAAAGAATCTTATTATAACTGAGGCCAGGTTTTATCATATTACTGGTCTTAGATCTTGTTATAAAGATACAAGGTGATATGTTGAACTAGCATGTGGTTTTATGTAAAAAATAACGAGTGCAGTTTATACATAAATCAAAAATTATGATAAGTTAAACAACAATATGCAATGTAAAATTGTGAAGATAAACTGTTAAAGGTAACTGTTAAATGTAACTGTTTTGTATAGGATCTCTCCTGCGCCAAAGACACAGTGACGAAAATGGAAATTGACACAGATGGAGAATACTTATCAGACTCTGATTCTAATGAAGCAAGACAACAGGACAGACAGATTCCTAGAAAGAAACATCACAGGTAACGATCAATCTTAATCATCAAAGCTATATTTATATTGATTTTTCTTATTTATTATTCTTTTTTATCATAGACATCCACATGCCAACACAATGAATAGTCATCAAGAAACAAACGCGAGTACTTCAGAGTTCCACACGTTAGTCGACACAGCCTGCTCTATCATCGAAGCACCGCACCAACAGAATGTGTCCTCTATACCTGGTAAAGATCTGATACAGCTTGGAAAATGCCATATGAATATTTAAAAACATATATATTGCCTCTGTAAACGGATATGGTTAAAGATCTTTATTCTCATAAGAACATACATAGGTTCACTTACATGAGATTAAATAATGTTACTCACATATGTTAATATTTGATACATGGAATGGCTAGTACTACTTAATATTGTCTAATATATATATATTTTAAGTTTATTTTAATGATGATTCAATTAGAGAAAGTTTGAATTCCTTATTACTGATATTTGTAGACACATGATCGAGAATAGTTTTTATTCTTGAAGTTTCACGAGTACAACATTTTTCATCACTTTTATTCAGTATCTCATACCCCGCTTCATGGAGATTGGTTAAGTATTGTTTGATATTTTTGTCTGTGCTCAATAAATCTAAATTTAAATCACCAAAGACAATTGACGTCTTGACAATTGATATCAATCTAACATTATATTTTATCCATACTTTTCAGGTCCAAGCGGCTCAAGCTCATTGTCGCTAGAACCACGGGCGTCGTCCTCACGAAGCCCCGGCAAGAGCGTTATTGTACGTGCTGTAAGTCATTTCAATTATTTGGGGAATATTGACAATAAAAATATTTGCATATTATATTAAATTAGTTATATTTTAGATTTTGTTCAATAATTTTTTCTTTTATCTTTATATATATACATATAATTCTTCTGTGAGTGTGTATGTCACTGAACTTCTCTCAAACGACTGCACCGATTTTGATGAACTTTTTTGTGTGTTCAAGGGGATCTGGGAATGGTTTAGATTCACAATTTTGTCTGCTGGATAATGTTTTTTAATTAATTTTTAATTTATTAGTAGTTGTTGATACAAACTTTTTTTTTTACATTAGATTTGACAAATAACTAATATGTCAATCATTCTGTCGCACTTCAAAACACGGAGATTTATGGCTTTAATAGATAAACTCCAAAAATTTAAAAAAAAAGTAACATATTCTTGATTATAGGGCGATACTAAGTTCGCCGGGTCTTCTAGTGTATATATAATAATCAACAGTAATAAATAGAACTTTAGTAACATTTCTCTGTTCTAGGGTGAATTGCTTAGTGCGGCTGATCCTCTCGAGTCTCAAGAAATATCGGCCCATGTGACAGTTGAAACCACTGGCTTGCCGTCCGCGACTCTGCTGCCACCTCAAGTTCTCAATGCCCCCGCTCAACCGTATGTCTCTAATGTTAAATATATATCAAGGAAACATATTAATTATTTATACACAATGCATATTATGTATACATAATATATATTGTTATTTTACAGTCGGGCTTGTCCATCGTTGGGCGCATCGGTTTCCCACGATTTGTTGCTGGGTCGCTGGCGGTTATCTCTTGACTTATTTGGGCGTGTGTTCACTGAGGACGTGGGCTTAGAACCAGGATCCGTAGTCGCGGAGCTAGGAGGATTCCCTGTTAAGGAAGTCAAATTCCGTCGTGACATGGAGAAGCTAAGGAATTCGCAACAAAAAGATTTGACCTTACATAAGGTAAATATAACTTAAGTAAAACATACTTATAAGAATGTCTTGTGTATTTATTTATCTATGTTTTCTAGTTGTCTCAGGTTGCGGGCGTCCCGAGTAATGTCTTTAAATAAAGCAATTAGTGTGCCAGTTGCTTTATTTAACTCGCGTATTTGAATGACATCCCTGTCACTCACACTGACTGAGTTATCGAACAATTAATAACTAACAAAAATACACCTCACAATTCTACAACAAAATTGGCACTCATGTAATGAATACATTCTATTAACAGACAATTGTTTTTTCTATCAGATGGAACGTGATCGCGCTAAGCTATTGCAACAAACATTTGCTGAGTTAAACAGCGCCTTTGCTGGTCACAACCGTCGCGCTCACAGCGCTCAGCCCCCGCTGGCTGTGAACCGTGTGAAGGTGACCTTCAGAGATGAACCCGGAGAGGGCAGCGGAGTCGCTCGATCATTTTACACCAGCGTTGCTGAGGTAAATATGTCAATACACCGCCTCAACTAACTTATACTCAAATGTCATATAATACAAATGTCACTATGAGATCAAACATCTTATTCTCATCTCGTCTGCTCGCGATCATGGTTGCTGCAAAGTAAAAACTTCAGGAGTATGTAGTTTTTAGTAATAATAAAATAACGCGATGTAATTCGAATATATTAGTTTTATTTATACAAATGTCGTTATGGTATTTGTTTATCCTTTTTACAGGCTTTATTAGCGAATGAAAAGCTGCCGCCTTTGGAGTCGACTACTGGTAGCGGCAGCAATAGTAGTACTACTAACGGTACACTCGGATCTTCCGGCACGGCTGTTAGCGGCGCTAGTAGTAACAGTGGCACAAGGTAAAAATGAAACCTCAATCATAAATCGAATTTATGGGTCTAATATTTAGTTTCATATTTGGTCAGAAAATGAGTAAGGTCCTGGGATCTTAGACAATTTATATTAATAAAATGTCGACACTTTTCTCGTCAAGCCTTAGAAATTCTTAATCAGTTATGAATTCAAATATTGTTTATGGTATTCACACACAGGAAAATGGTTATTTTATTTACACCCAGATAACTTTAAATAATTTTTGTTATGAAATAAATCTGGAGAGAGAAACACGAAAGTCGGTTTAATGATTATAATATTGTTGTAACACAGCCGCAGCGGAGCCGGGCGTGCTCGTGCTAAGGACAACGCCCGCCGCGCTCCAGGCCGACCCGCACCAAGACCTCCCGCCGCCCGGGAACCGAGACGAGTACTCAGTGTGGACGCACGACCATACTCACCGCAGGTATGTATCTGACATACATGTATACATTATTTATTTATACATATAACATAGATTTGAGATTGATCTAGTGTAGCCTTTCCAAAAGTAAGCGATAACACCCCTTTTTGGGAGCTGCAGGCCTGAAGAGGGCGGTTAAAGACCCTGAAAAAACTACGGTTGTGTAGAGGCCTGTGGGATGATTTATAATTCCATTTACCTGGAATAAGTTGTAGTTGTTTTTCAGTAAATATAAAAATCAGGTAATGAAAAAAAATATTCACAAAGTTGGCAGTAGAAACATAAGTTTTAAAATCCTTGATCTAGTTTTTGTATTTGTATTACAATGAAAAATGACTGTATTAATAATTTTTATATACAGGCTGCTCCTGGAACCGAAGGCGCTGGATACAGCGGAGATCGACCTGGAGGACACAACGAACATCTCACGTTACATCAAGCTCAACTCGGTGAAAGACTTTACCCTAAAGTACGACCTGAATCTAAATTGTGACTCTTTCAATATCAGAAATTTTTGCTCAAATAATATAATTATTGACAATCGATCATCAGGTTCATTCCTTACATCCAACGTTTGCTGGCAAAATCACTGGCATGTTGCTGGAACTGACGCCAGCCCAGCTCCTTGTACTCCTGGCAAGCGAGGACGCACTGCGGCAGAAAGTACGAGAGGCCATGGATCTCATAGTACTACATCCATCAGAAGCTATACTAGGTAATTAAATCACGTGTATATATCGATTTTATTTTGCGGAATTATTTTGTTTTTCGGCTTTTTATTTCATAATCAGGGATCGAAATTATATAAAACTCGAATGAAGCTTGTGTAACATAAATATATCTCAGAGAGAACTTGCAATAGTTGACATTCCGATCCCTGGTTCACATTAAAATGGTTGTCTTCACATAGATCTGGACGTGTTCTCGCTCTCAGAGCGCGGTGGTGGTGCGGGCGCGGGGGCGGCGGCTGGCGCGACCACGGCTGCCTCCGACGACGCTGCCCCACTGTTCTACTCACCCGGCAAGCGAGGGTACTACTCGCCGAGACAGGGACGCGCCACGCTTGAACGGATCAACGCCTTCAGAAATGTTGGCAGGTTAGCATGAATATCCTATAAGTTCTAGCTTGCTGTTATGTTAAAATAGTAGTTTTTTTATATACAGTCATACTCCGCTTAACGCGACCCTGTTATGCGCGGTTTCACTATAACGCGATTTTCAAAAATTTATTCAGGTTCGGACATTGCAAAGTATAGACAATAATGATGACCGTGTCTTGAACGTGTGTCAAACGATTAAAAACAGTGGTTGGTGTTATGAACGTATTTTACGAAAACGTAAACAAAACGCTACCCAAAAGATAATACATGTATTTTTTTAGTAAAAAATAAGGGGTACCTATGTATTGTATAGTGTTCTTAGAATTAAAGTGATAGATTAAAATAATTTTTATATTTGTCTATTAAATTTTGACTAAGTTTAATCATAAACCTCGATATACGCGAATTTCAGTTAACGCGATTTTCTTCGGAACGTATCCCTCGCGTAAAGCGGGGTATTACTGTACATTTTGAATGTATACCCCGATTGACTTAGTCGGCCTCGCTCCGTATTATGATTAGAATCCTTTAAATTTAGAAACCTTTACTTATTTTAAATATTTAATGACATTTGTTATTACTTTTATTTTCGTCTGCTATATAATTTTCTTTTTATTTTTCAGGATTATCGGTTTATGCTTGTTACAAAATGAACTCTGCCCGATGTTTTTAAATCGTCATGTATTGAAGTACATACTGGGTAGACCCGTCAGATTTCACGATCTGGCATTCTTCGATCCTGTCGTCTACGAGAGCCTTCGTCAGCTGGTCGTCGATGCTGAAACTGGAGACTCGCATTCACTATTTGCAGCTCTTGATCTCAACTTTAGGTATATTACAAACAAAACATTGCCCATTTTGAAAAACAAAATTATTTGTCCATTTCATTAATGTAATTTTAAACCATTATATTTTTCAATTTACAGTTTGGAAATGTGTGAAGAAGAAGGTGGTGGCTGCGTTGAACTGGTGCCTGGCGGTCGGGAAATTGAAGTTACAGCTCTCAATGTGTATGACTATGTACGAAAATATGCCCAACACCGCATGCTGTTATCACAGGAAAAAGCTCTTGAGGTATGTTTACATTATTGATTACGTTTCTTTGAGGCGTCACATCGTGCATTCGTGTCTATAACTCTATATTTCCCTTACAGGCAATGCGTGTTGGTGTACTAGACGTGCTTCCTGAATCTGCCCTAGAAGGCCTAACGGCTGAAGATTTACGACTTCTATTAAACGGTGTAGGAGATATAAATGTGACGGCACTAGTATCATACACGAGCTTCAACGATGAAAGCGGTGAACCTCCGGAACGACTTGCTCGTTTTAAACGATGGCTTTGGGCTATCGTTGATAAGATGACGCATTTAGAAAGACAAGATTTAGTAAGTTTTGCGTGGTGCTTAGTATTTTTAAGACTTGTTGGTACTTAATAATAATGATTGTTATATTCAAAGGTATATTTCTGGACCGGGTCTCCAGCGCTTCCGGCGTCAGAAGAAGGCTTCCAGCCCATGCCGTCTGTGACCATCCGACCAGCCGACGACGCTCACCTCCCCACCGCTAATACCTGCATCTCTCGACTCTACATACCTCTGTACTCCTCGCGACACGTTCTCAAACATAAATTATTACTCGCTATCAAAACTAAAAACTTCGGCTTTGTGTAAATGTTTATTTGTAATTTCGTTATGATTCGTTTAAAAAACAGTCCCGTGAGACTGCTGTTGTATTCTATCCCTGTTGGTTTTATGATACTATACATTTGTATTTATAGAGCGCCATAGACCTACGTCAAATGTTAGCACTACTAGTACATACATAATAGTATGATTTGTATATCTTTGACAAATATGACTGAAAAATATATGACTGGGGTTATTTGACTCTTATTAATTTATGAAACAATTATTGTCCACTTTCTAAATTAGGCCTCCATTTATTGGACAGCACAAGTGCATAGTCAACTAAAGAAATGAATAGACTTGTTAAGACATTAACATAATTCTAGAATTAACTAGGACTTAAAATTGTTTCAGTTGTATGATATAACCTCATGTGAACTAATGTTCGCGCCCATAATACAGTGTTTTTAAAATTAGCTTGTTTAGTCAAATTGTGACTAACATATTATATTGATGTGAGATAAGAAATCGTCATTATATTTACTTTATAAAAGTTTTTGGCAATAGCTAATGTATTGTTTTCTTTTTTCTGAAGTAAATTTCTTTACAGATCTTTAATCTTTTGTTTGAATACAAACTAAGTAAGTGCATTTCTCTCCTTTTATTTATATTGCCTATAAGATGAGTAAAGGTTTTCTCTTGCAAGCTTGATGAGTATATGTCTTGGTATTATTGCAATAACAGTTTTTTGGTCATTTATATGATGCTTTCAGTTTATCTGTCATCAATCAAGTTATTTTAAATGACTTCAGTATTTTAATGTGTACATGTAGCCACCCGGTTAGCTCGTAATGTCAAATATTTTAATTACATTTGTGATTGTACTACGACATATACAAAAACTATATAAAATCATAGTCATTAAGATCTTGATTTGTTACGGGAATATTAGGCAGTGGTGATTGATTCCATTTATAGTGGACTTTGTGATAAAGGAGGAAATGTTATGCCTCTATCTCTAAATTTAAGATTCTAATTAGATTTCCCTTTGATTAGTTGTATTTAATAAGGTTCATAATAAATATTTCTCAAAACGCTTAATTAATAATCTTTTATTTTATCTATACTTGAGTATATCCAGAATGAATTATTTGAAACTACTTATAAAGTCTTCAGTCCAATAACAAATGAGGATACAGTAAACTAAGGATATTTTTTTAACCAAGTACCAAATCAATAATATGTTATTAATATGACGGCGCATCTGTCAAAAATCATACGTCAGGTTGACTTTTAGCTGTCTGAGGTTAGCCTAGTGAAGCGTCATTGTCGTTGGTAGCGAGGGCGGCCATCTTTTATTGTACAGTTTCGTTCGGGATGACGCCCGCGCACCGCGCTCGTGACGAATCGCTGTGTATCGAAGTGATAGTTATATCTAGTGTTTCGATTGAGTTGGTGTCGTATTGAATAGACTGTACTTTATCCCTTTCAAAGTATGAGTTCCCATGAAGGCCCTCCTGTTCTTACAACGCCCTCCTACATCAGAAGTGGGATCGAAAGGGCTTTAAAATGAGGAGAGTAGTGATCATCCATCTATGTTAAACTTTGTAAAAAATAATGAGAAACTTGTCGATGAAAATAATGTCAACTTCTCAACTAACTTCGACGACGTAGTTGATCCGGTTCAATCTGGATCGTACGGAAGCAGATATAAGGGTTAGGACGTCTCGTCGTGTCTTGATCGTAAAAGGTACCGGTAATTGAGGCTCGCCGGTGAAGGAGATATCTGTGTGACCATGGGCCGAGCCGAGGGGAGTTGACGACGTCATCTGGTGAGACTGTTCCTTTTCTTTTTAGTAGTGGGTGTACTTGTTCATGTAGTACTAATGTGTGTCTGTATCTGAAAATTTTTCAAATAAATTTCTGTGTACTTTGAGCAATGAAGTAGTTCCCCTGAAAGGCATCTGAACGCGTAGTATACGGTCGAAGCGAACGGGCGACGATATGAGTTTCACGCTTACCCACCACTTCGTAAGATTTTAATATTAGATCGTATTAGCGAATAAAGGTCATTCAACCTTGCGCTTCGGTACTGAATACTCTAGTCGTACTTCGTGTACATTAACAGTCAATTATTATTAGTTTTTCTACGTCTATAGACTTATTGTAATACACAAATTTTAAGCCCGGTCATAATTCAAAATGTTTCAATGTCTCTTTTGTTTCATATTATTAAAGAGAATATTATTTTTGAATCCGTGGTTGTTGGACGGGACCTTGTAGAGTAGGGAATTAAAGGAGAAATAAACAGTGACTACATTATTTTCTCAAAACCTGAAACGACAAAAACAGATAAGTGCTCAACCTCAGACAATCTTAACTTTTCTCGTATCAAAACTTATTTGGAAGGCGACGATAACAAAGCCCTTATCGATGTTTTTAAGAAGTATAACTCATTTTGTTATTAAGGGCACTTCTTAACTCTTTAGACCCTAATTCTTTAGACCCTAACATAGTCTAAGAGAGACCTTACAAATTATAAGAGGTTGTTCGATATAAAAAAAAAAATAAAAAAATGGATGCCCTCTTTGAAACAATCATTTTACACTTTATCAAGCCCCATTCTAATTGTAAAAAACGAATGACAACTCTGACATAATGTATGTTGACTCTAGGCAAATTAACACCAATTCTTATAGTAAGCCTTTTGTTTTAGAAATTTTATACCGAACTATTTCCGCCTAGTACGATCCTTATGTCCACTCACTAAGTTAAAGGGTTTAATTAAACGGTCAGAAGGCCACGGTAATATTCGTAAATGGATAGTTCAAATACTTACCACGGAGTCTATTCTAACTATATTTGATCGCGAGCCTCCTATAGAATTACACACGAATGCCAGCGCCAACGGATACGGTACCATTTTAATTAAATGAAAGAACGGAGTTCCTCACGTTATTTCATATTTCAGTCGCCGGAAAACTGACACGGAATAAAAGTATCATTCTTATGAACTTGAGACCTCGGCAGTCGTTCGAGCGGAAGAATATTTGAAGCAAAAGCTATATGGTCATCATTTTATTGTTTTCACGGGTGGCAATCCTTTCAAAGCTTCTTAGTTAAAAAAAAAAAAAAAAAAAAAAAAAAAAAAAAAAAAATTAACACCGAGAGTACATAGATGACCCTGAGCAGGGCACTTCCAAGAGCGACAAAAGCAAGGCTCAAGTAGTTAATAAGTCTGTGCAGTTTGTAGAGGTAAATCAAGGGTGGTTAGCGGTAGAACAAAAACGTGATGCATATGTTCAAGATATTGTTGCTCAGCTCTTAAATAATAAGTTTCCCGATTCAATTAGTCACATCTACGATGTTAGAAACAATATGCTATATCGAAAAAATTGAACGAAACAAAGTTAGTCGTTGGTAACCTATCGTCCATCAGTCCCTTGTATGGACTTAAATCAACCATATCCATACTGAGATAGACACGTTTAGTTTCTTGATGGAGTGCAACGCAGGCAGGTATTTTTAGGTGTTCTGGGATTTGGTCCAGTCACCTTTTGGGATTTAGTCCTCTAGTTCGGTTACCGTCCACTTTTTCAATCACTAGCGGACGTTTAAAGCTGTCCGTAGTTCTGTCAGGGAACTGACCAATCAACGCCAGTATGTGCTGCAAATAGATATTAGATAAGCGCTGACCATATTTTGAGGTATGCGTAACATACTTCGTCATCACCACATTCCTAAGGCATCAATTCTTTGCCTGTCAACGACTTTCATAGTCCACGTCTTTGCACTATACAGAATCGGATAGCTAGATAGATAGAAATATAGAGAAGGCAAGCGTTCGTATCAGATGCATTTTTGTTCCATTAATAATTTTCCTATCTCTCCAAATTTTATTCAGTAGGGTTATTGCTATTTTGGCCATGTAAATTCTCCTACGGATTTGCATACATTTTATTGGCATACTATTCACATAGATATGACTGGGACATTAAGTGGCAAAAGCGACAGAAAAGAAATACGCGTCAGTAATGATTGATTATGTTATCAAGTATGTCCTTTAAGAGCATACTCTATCCCTCGATGCCAGTTGTACTATTAAAGCGTTGAGAAAAGCTGTTTCTCTTTTCGGTGTTCTCAAGCGAATTGTTATATCGGGGAAGGGGCTTTGTAAGCGCGGACTTTAGAGAATTGAGTAAAACACCTCGTATAGAACTTTACTTTATAACAACAGGGGCAAATAAAGCCAACGGTCAAGTAGAAAGGGTCATGCAGATTTTAAAATGTCTGCTAACTATTATAGAAAACGATACCCATAAAACGTGGCGTGACAAACTTCCTGAGGTACAAGGGACGAAACCTCTTAGCATTCAATGGATTCGCCGTGCGGGTGCCGGGTCCAACGCGTTGCAGGGAGGGGAGCTTCAGCAGTGCCTGGGACTTGCGACCCAGGTGTGGGTTTGAGGGGCCCCTTAACTAACGCGCGTTGTACGCTCACCTCCACTGTCCAAGTTCCTCTCCCTACCTAGCCAAATTTGAGAGGAACCTACTAGGGCTGCCTTCGACGTACGTTCCAGGAATGAATTAATGTTAGTTCTGGACGGGCCCAAGTCTTTTGGTAGGTTGTAGAGAGATTTGGCTGTTATACCTCTCGCTCCCACCTCTACCGCGGACGAACCTATTTCGAGTTAGTTCGTTAGTGAGCTCGTAATACTTAATGACCTTGATGGCATGGTCTTTGGGGATGTTGGTTTCCCAAGGCACCGTAGGCTCTATCATCACAACGCGCTTTGAAATGCGCGAGTATAGAAGTATGTCTGGTCTGGAGGCTGCCGCACAAATATCCTCGGGGATTTTGTGTTGTTTCTCATACGTATCCATCATGATAGTCCAATCCGAAACCGCTTTAAGGATGGAGTAGGGCTTGACGTTTGATTTTATAGCCCTGGTGCTCTCTCTCACAAAACCTATTGATCGCTCGTTTGTGGTTGTTTCCCTTTGCGCTCTGGCTACCGAAAGACTGACCGCTTCAAGTATGATCT